AAGAAAACACGCTCTCTCTCTCTCTCTCTCTCTCTCTCTCTCTCTCTCTCTCTCTCTCTCTCTCTCTCATGCACATGCACATGCATACACGCATACAAACACTGGGAGAAATATGACCACAATCTGCAAAGGCTCCATATAGACAGGATCTCAGTGGGGGAGAGTTTGAATTATGGGTGTTGGGCGGTGCATCCGAGTCCATCACTTCATCACCACTGAAGAGCCTGCGCTGCTGGCAGAAACAGAGACTGATGGGCTGCTACATCCTCCAGTTATAAACCAAACGGCCTGGAGACTTGATCTTTATTTAGGGGGTTCTTTTTGAAACTGTGTAAATACAGTGTCTGTGTAAATAACGTATTATAATTGTATTAGGTTATATTTATATTATCTATATTATCCCATATGTGCAGTCTTTCATCTACTGCATTCTCACAATGGATGGCACTGAGCAGCGGACTAGAGAGACATAAAGAGGTTGGATTTTTAGGAGACAAACATGAAGGAGTTCCAGGTGCTCAAGCAAAATGGAGACAATGCAACTACATGACAGAGCATTCTGCTCATCTCTTTTCTCATCTCTTGTTTTCTCTCTCTGTGGACTTAGAGTCCTATTTTGGGCACTACGCTGGACGCCTATGGCTCTTTGTATGCCTCTGGGCAGCAGCCAAGATCTTGGTGTGTCTGTTCTGGTTTTAGAACACTGCTGTCCCCAGGGACCCTCTGACATAGGCCGACATCTCTGCCAACTAAAAGCGGCTCCACAATTCACTCCAATCAATCTCAAACCAGACATAGCAGACCGATCCATAGCTGAGGCTTCTGGGTGGGGTTGGCAGGGTCTTGGGTTTACTGGAACTACAAACTGAGAGCATGCAGATTGCCATTGTTTGTCGCAAATGCATGAAACATTCTTGATAAACAGTTACATAACGCAACATAAGGGGTTATGTAATTCTTTGATCAAGAATGAATGATTACAAGGTATTCAGCAGTGAGAGAAAAGAACACAAGAAAAGTCATCAATTTTTAATATACCCTAAGAAATTTGTGAATAATGCTGACTCTGATGGGAAAGCCTAAATTATTTTCTATGAATTCATATGATGTGAATTGTTAAAAAAAATAGAAAGTAGTTACAAATTTACAAAAAGAGTTTGAGATTTCTTGCCACCAATAATGAATGCTGACAATTTTCATGACACAGTTTACCATGCATTTTTTTTAATTATCACTGTTTGTGTGAACAGGTCTTCATTGCAAATGAACGACTTCAGGTTGATTTGTTAGATCACTGTCAGCAAACACCCATTAAGACAGGGTTGCATTTGAGACCAGAAGAGGGTCGAGTTCAGGTTAACACTGAGTCCACATGTTCCATGACGAGACCAAGACCAAAAAATATATTGTGTTGGACTCAAGGAGCATGGCCATATTTTCATGGTCTTGGTTTTATTGACTCAGACTCAACACTCCTCTGGTCTCGGTCTTGACTCAAATGAGCTGGTCTTGCCTACAACACTGCCTTGAAGGGACAGTTCATCCCAAAATGAAAATCTTGTCGTCATCTACTCACCTCACAAGTTGTTCCAAACCTGTAGGAGTTTCTTTCTTCTGTTGAGCACGAAAGAAGGTATTTTGAAAAATGTTGGTAATCAAACAATTGATGGTAGCTAAATGGATTGGAACAAGTGGAGGGTGACAGAATTTTAATTTTTAGATGAACTATCCCTTTAAGATATCACAAAATTGGTTTGTTTGGTTCAGGTGAATCTGACACGTGTTCTGCTTCTGCTCCCCAGGTTTGTGGCCCAGAATGTGATGCGTCTGCAGCGGCTGGGTGTGACACACATACTGAATGTCGCAGAGGGAAACTCTTTCATGCATGTGAACACCAACGCAGAGTTCTACGCAGGAACTGGGATCACGTACCATGGCATACAGGCCAATGACACTGAGCAGTTCAACATCAGTGCCTTCTTTGAGGAAGCAGCAGACTTCATCGATAAGGCTCTGGCACATGGAAAAGGTCAGCTGCTCGTGCTTCTTCTCTTTTTGTAAATGCTTTTGTTTCTTATCAAATACCCACTTTAGACTTACATAAACTGATTGTAAAGAAAACATTTTCCATTCACCGACAAGACTATCCCAAGATATTACAGAAATTTTGTTCAGTCCATTTGACACAGTTTCTTGATAATTCATGAAGTATGAAGCCAGCGATGTCTTTGCGGAGTTAGAATGTATAGTATTCTGTGGCGTTCATAACTTGACCTTTCTCTAACAAGCCAAGTTACTTATTTTTCCCTTATGCCAGCTTTCTTTTTTCATCACTTTGTTTTAATGCTTAGCTTGCACAAGTTAAAAAAGTTAGGATAAAAAAATGAAAGGAAAAAATACAGTGGATTTATTGAAATGTTTCAGTATATGTATCCACAGATAATAATGTATCCCAAAGTGGATCTGGTAGTCCCTACACACAGATTTTATCCCTAGATATCTCACATCAGTCGTTTTAATTGGTGCATTTAAACCTATCTTTTATGGCATGGATTTTATGCCATCTCTAACACAGAGGAGCAATTATAAAGCATCTTAATTGCAAATCATCTTGGCAGCAGGAGCCCAGTAAACGGTAAATCAGATGCCAAGCCTGGGTCGAGGGAGGACACTAATCTTTTCACTGAGAGCTTAAGCTGAAACAAAACCTCTAGAATATATGCTGCCACTTCGTAGCGAGGCTGAGCTCAGCTGTGACATTTGCGACAGACAGTGGGCTTGATGTCATCTGGCGAATTTGCTGGCTGAATTGCAATGAGCAGTGGGAGGGATGAAGGTCTGAGTGCTCCCGCTGCCACTGAGTCACACTGAATCAGTTTTAAAAATATGCTCTGCATAGGGGTGGGTCTCGATGGCTGATTTGTCGTCTAGTTTTAGATTTGTTCCTGTTTTAAGTTTACTGTAGGTCTTTGTAGCAACAGTGCATTGCAGAGGATTGATGTGATATTCAGTTACGTGAGCACATAAAAAAATCTGTATTCTTTCTTTACCCATATATATACTACAGAGAACCTAAAATAATTATTTTGAGTACTTGGTTTGGATTTTGTGGGGTTTCAGGTTTACATCATTCATCATCCTTGATGTCAAAAAGTGACTACAAAAAACTCTGCATGTGAGATGCAATTTTATATTTCAAACACAGATGGTGATAGAAAGGCCAGAGTTCAGAGTGCTGTCATCCTTAGGCACCATTCACACAGAACTGAAGTTTTTGCACTTTAAGGGTTCATTCATCCAAAAATGAAAATTCTGTCATTGATTCTGTGTCAGAATCAGAATGTTGTAGAATAAAGTTTTTTTTTTTACATTTTTGTTGTCTTTGCGCACAAGAAGTATTTTTGTAGCTTCATAAAATTACGGTTGAACCACTAATGTCACATTGACTATTTTAAAGGGGTCATATGAAATGACAAACAACAAGTGCTACTCTACACTGCCCAAAAAACTTGCATTTGAATCGTCAGTTGCAAATTCTTTAAATATAAAAAACGTACTTACAGTCTGTGAGTCAGAACAGCCGGCATTGTAGTCTACTCTACCAGGATCAGGAAACAGTCCTCCATAAAATGCACTGGACACATCTGAATATTTGGGTTAAACTGTTCTGGAACAGTGTTGTAAATACAACTTAACCACTGATTTCTAGTCGTGTCCTCTTTTGGAAGGCCAAACCAAGTAGTTTCGCTTTCACAACGAAACAGCGTCACACACCGCGGCCTTGAGTGAGCGGCGGCCTAGAGTATGCGGAGGCCGGCTTGAGTAAGCAGAGGCGGGAAGTTGAAAATAAACTATCGGGTAGGGTTAGGGTAGGTGTAGGGAGGGCTTTATTGGCCCAAGAAGGTGGTATCCATTTAATAATTTGAATTAAAATGATAATTTACATTCAATACGTTATTATTGCATACTGTTTTAAAATGTACTGCAATACTGAGGTGCAGATAATTTGCCATAAGTAGTATAAATAGCTGAAAGTACTGCTATTTTAACAGTGTAAATAGAATCTATAGCTATTTGCACTTAGTGTCTATCGCTATTTGTACTTAAATATCATCTATCGCTAAGAAAATATGCTATTTTCACTTAGTGCAAATAGCCGCTGCCTTAAAAATATATAGTTTTGCATAGTCGTAGCTCTACATTGATCTACAGGGATCAGAGATTTAAGAATCAATGAAGGTTATCTCCTTGACACATAAACAGCACAAAGACTCACGGGAAAATGTAAGTAAGCATTCGGAGGAGGCATCAGGTTTCAGATCCTCTGCTGCATCTGCCAAATAAGCACAGCAGAGGCTTGCAAGGTGAATTCCTCCAGGAGAGTAGGCTGGTCAATAATGAATGTGTATGTGTGTGGCTGCATGTTTGGAGCGGAATTAATTGGTCTGAAGGTTGATTTGAGAATATTCACGATGAACTGATGTTGCGGCAGAAGCCGCAGTTGTATCCTCAAAGAATGAGATCTTCGGAGGTACTTCAAAACCTGCCTTTTTTAACCGTTTTTTCTTACTACTCTTCTAGGAAAGGTGTACGTTCACTGCCGTGAGGGCTACAGCCGTTCGCCCACTATCGTCATAGCTTACCTCATGCTCCGTCACAAGATGGATGTACGAGTTGCAACGGGTACAGTAAGACACAAGAGAGAGATCGGCCCAAATGATGGATTCCTGCGCCAGCTGTGCCAACTCAACGAAAAGCTGGCGAAGGAGGGCAAGTTGAAGACCAAATGATAGAATGTGCTCTACCCCCACATTTATTCACAAATGCAGGCACACGGTCAAACTAGTGTGCACTATTTCCAGTCCAAGTATATTAATAGAATGTATGCATACATCCAGAGCATAAGCATGGAGATATACAAAGTGTATTCAAACACACTTTCACATACACACTCACACAAGGTGTTGTCAGTGTCCTGAATAATTACCCTTGCTTCCAGCTGGCTGGTAAAGGCAAATTTACTGGCATATCTGAATAATTAAGGCTGTAGAAGGAGCAAGGGCAGCATTTTACATGTCATCACAACTGTTTTGTTTTTGCATTATTCCCCATGATAATTAGCTTCCGTTTTTTCACTAGGTACACCTGAAGCATTCCAGTACCCAACTGTTTGTATATCTCACAAATTCAACTTTTGGAGCATATTAGCCCAGTTGTCATGTAATGTAGAGCACAATCATCCTATGGGTTCCAATTTGACAGAAATACTGCGATTGCTCATCCCATTTCTATATGTATGTGGTAGAATATGATATTTAGGTATAAAAAAGCACGTCGAATACAACTTTTAACCCATTTACAGACCTACAGCCAGATTTGTGATGGCTTTCCAGCATTTTAAATCAGGAGGACAAAACTGTTGTGTACCAGCACACACCCCTTTCGCTCACTAAATTAACATTCCACTTTGTACCGAATGGTAGCATACAATCAACAAGATATATCTACAACAAGCCAACTGTATGTTGTAGCTCAGATTTAACAGACGCTACAAACAGGTTCAAACGGTTCTATGCAGCAGTGATAATGCATCAACCCCATTAGATCTCTTTACTCTAGAATCACTGTCTCTCACTGCCAAGTCTCATGCCACATTTGGTCCATCACAAGATCACAGTCAGCCTTGACCAGAGAGACACGTCCGATAGATGGAGAGCCTCTGCCATGCCAACTGCCTAATGATGTGCCCTTACACAAGGTTTGTAACCCAGAGGCCCAGTGCCCCTTCATACTGTTAGTTCAGAGATCGCAGGAAGCGTGTCAGTGACATCTGTGGAGTGTAGACCAGATTTTTAAGGGTAGCTGTTGAAACAGATTAGGTTTACTTCGGGCTCAGCTTTGTCCTTAAAACAGAATCACTTTAGCACTGGAATTGACTCATTTTGCTGCACTGCTGGCTTGTTTCAGGTTTTGAAGGGGTCATATCATACGTATTTTTATCATTTAATTATTTGCCTCTGCCATGCCAACTGCCTAATGATGTGCCCTTACACAAGGTTTGTAACCCAGAGGCCCAGTGCCCCTTCATACTGTTAGTTCAGAGATCGCAGGAAGCGTGTCAGTGACATCTGTGGAGTGTAGACCAGATTTTTAAGGGTAGCTGTTGAAACAGATTAGGTTTACTTCGGGCTCAGCTTTGTCCTTAAAACAGAATCACTTTAGCACTGGAATTTACTCATTTTGCTGCACTGCTGGCTTGTTTCAGGTTTTAAAGGGGTCATATCATACGTATTTTTATCATTTAATTATTTCCCCCGAGGTCCACTTATAACGTTAGTCCAATTAAGCAGGCCGTTTTTGCTGCTGTGCCTTTAAGACTTCTATGTAAGCATCCTTTTTGCATGTGAAGGGAGTTACATTGATGAGTAACTGATAGTTGTCGGTATAGTTTATGCTGTCCATCGTTCAATAACAGCATCATTGCGGCAGATTCACAAAAAGGTCTGCACTGAAATGTGCTGTTCAAACCATTCAGATCAGACTTTAACAGCAGAACTTTCCCACATTTACTCTTTATTCAGTTTTGGAATAACAGTATCCTTCCTACTTTCTCTGTATAGCTTCTTTGGGACTGGTTTGGCTACACTGATGTGTAAATATGGGCGGTCGTATGTTAAAGTATCCACATTTTTGACATCAAAAATTTCAGTATGAGACATTTTTGTAGCTTGGCTTCAGTAAATGGTCTTTTTGGACTGGGGAGAAAATGTTGATGTCTTAAAGTTAACCCAAAAATGAGATTTCTCATAATATATGACCTCTTTAAAGGAGAACCAGCATCACTTCATTTGGAATAAGTGCATGCTAAAGTTTCAAACACATAGCTTTTTGAATTAGTCTCATTTCTCTTGTCAAATTTGATTGATCTAATATTAATAGCCCCTGGGCCTCTACATTTATTATTACTGAAGGAAAATATAGTACAAATCGTAGGCTAGATTATAACACAAAGCACTACTTATGCCTCTTTTTTTATATTTCTATATTCCAGATATATATACTTGTATATACATATTTAGATGTTGACATATATGAATGTATGACCTGTCCATAATATTTGTGTATGACCAGTATCTATTAACAATAGAAATAACTAATAAATTGTAGTCAACATCCATTTTATTTTGAAATGCCATGGCACATTTACCCAAAAACACCACATTTGTTTCACACACCCAGTTGTTTGCTAAAACTTCCATATATTATCCAGTTTTTCTTTTCGCTTTGATGGAGAGTGGTGTATTTGGCTTTATTATTTTATAATTTACATTGTATTAGAGGGTCAAAGTCTGTTTTCACAGGTAACACTGTTGCAGGCTACCTCACAACATTCATACTACTGTAGCTAATCCACAATAATTGTTTAGTTTTTTTTGTGTGTGTGTGTCTAAGAACATTTAAAATGGACAAATACCTATATGTATGAAAACATTAAAACTATAAACATTCCTTTAATATAATCTGGAGACCTAGGCTTTATACAACCTAATCAGCTGTAGCTTTTGGAAACCTGTGTGCCGTCACAAAAAACGTGAACCAATGAGGATGGTCTGTGCCAATGGCAAGCAAACTACGGGAGTTTATCAGTCTGAAATCTTCTTGTGCTTTTAGAGATTTAAGCAGCAACTTTTAACCTCAAAAAGCAACAACACATTTTGAATACGCATATTTGGACATTTCAACATAAAGATGTGTTTGCCGGCTCTGTTGGCTACAAGGCTTCAGAAGATGAAGAAGAACACACCCTTTTCTGAACTGGATCTGTGGAAGGAGAAACACTGCCATCTGCTGTTGATAAACCATGTGGTTTGCACAAACTGGCCTGCTATGTATTGCCTTTTATTCAAATGTATCCGATTGTATGTATGTTACACAGTGCATAGAAATCGTAAACAATATAATTATACAGGGAAGATTAAATGAAAATGGTTGTACCACTATATGGCTTAATGATGTCATTAGTATATAACAATGAATCACAATGCTGCTTGGTCACTTTGTATGTATGTCTCATTAGTATGTGATATTTTAGTTTGTATTTTAATAACACAAAGTAAGGTGTCTAAAGTGATGCATTTTTGATGCACTTGCATTTTTTGGCATCGGTGCGAAGTATTGTCTGTGCATTTTTGCTTCTTTGTTTCGTCCATGCGTACAAGCACATAGTTGCATTCATGTGTGCACACACACACTTGCTCAAACGCCGCTGACTACATGTAACTCTATATCGTCTATGTGCCGTCTCTTACTCCTGTATGCTTTGTGTTGTTGCTGTAATGTGATATTGTAAATGACTGACCACTTGTTTGTTGTAAAGGACATGGAAACCTCAGCAGTTGCAAATTTGGCAGGAGGGTTTGGCACAAATGTTCACACTCTAAAATTATGTTCTGCATTTTGAGTTCGCGAGTTGCTTGATGTGACTAAACAACAGATTTACGGTTTCGTTTTAATCTGACTTAATCAGGAAAGGAATTACAGATTGCTTGAAGTGGAGGTCAAATGAATGCATTCACATGACACAGGCTGTCTAAACATCCCACCTTAAAGCCTTAGCCTGAAGATGGATTATATATTTTTGATTCATGTCTTCACTTCACAAAGCTAGGTGTACAGCTTCTGCAGACACTTTGTTTAAGTGCACTTCATTAAATCACAGTTATTTTTCTTACACTGTAAAATGTTCTTTTGTTTTATGATGTCTGAAAATAAATCGCAAAAATTAAAACGTGCTTTTTTTTTCTTTAGTTTTATTCAGTTAAGTGAGTCCCAACTGGGAGAATGCATTGTTAAAACCATAAAACCGAAATTACAAATTATTATAAAAAATATTAGGGTGACTATAAGGGTGATATAAAAAGTTATGGTGATAAAAATATTATTGTCAATTTGTGTGAGTGTGTGTGTGTGTGTGTATATATATATATATATATATATATATATATACACAGTACACTACTGTTCAAAGGTTTGGGATCAGTAAGATTTTTTATTTTTTTTTAAAAGTCACTTATGCTCATCAAGGCTGCATTTATTTTAACAAAAATAAAGTAAAAACAGTAATATTGTGAAATAGTATTCAAATTTAAAATAACAGTTTTCTGTTTTAATGTACTTTAAAATAGAATTTATTCCTGTAGTGGCAAAGCTGAATTTTCATCATCCATTACTACAGTCTTCAGTGTCACATAATCCTTCAGAAATCATTCTAATATGCTGATTTATTACCAATACTGGAAAAAGTTGTGCTGCTTAATATTTTTTTTTTGGAAACTGTGCTACTTTTTTCAGGATTATTTATTAAATAAAAAGTTAAAAAAGAACAGAATTGATTCAAAATATAAATCTTTTGTGACAGTATACACTACCGTTCAAAAGCTTGGTTTTAGTATGTTTTTTTTAGGTATATGTTAAATATATGTCTGAGGCATATGTTAAATTGATTAAAAAAATAATAGTAAAGAATTACATTGTAATGCACACACACACAATCAATGATTTAAAAAAGCGTACCAACAAACAGTATCCTCAACCTTGCTAACACATTTTTTCTCCCTTCTTTTTTCTTGTATTGTCTTTTCAAACTCCACAGCCAGAATAAAAATTGCATTTCATTGTCTCATATCACTCATATTGCTCAATGCAATAATACATTATTTTTGCATTTCTTCCTAGAGCATGAGAGGGACTAATTTCTCATGTACATGGGTAGTTTGCATGACAATACCCTATTAGTTCTCCTTGTGTTTTGCAAGCAGTCTGTGTCTGTGGGCCTCTACGGTCTTTGATTACAACAGAATGGGGCACATGAAAAAGCGTTCACAACAGCCCCTAATTACTCCTGTTAGGTAACAGAGATAAGTAGGGTAACATTCAGCTGTGAACAGACTTTAATGCAACATTTGACTTGCCTCAGCAAATCTACAAAGACTGAGCAAATGAATGACTTCACTACATCCGCAACTAGATTTAATGTGCATGGCATCATGTTTTACTGCGTATTATATATTTGTTGAAGAGATCATTATAAAATATGAGTGCAGGGTTAAGGTTTTGGGTCAGCATGTGTGAATATTTATGCATTTATGGAAGTGCAGTATGTATATTATTTATGCACTATGTTTATTCATAAATTAGAAACATATCCGAAAGATGCTTTATGGTAAGATTTTAGAGTCTGTCTCCAAGAGATGGAGACAAACGCTTCCATAAATCTGTCTCCCTCTTGGGTCCTGTGCTCCTTGTACCATGACCTGCACACTAACATAAGACTTTCTTTTGACACAAATACATAATCATATCCAACACTCCGTCACAGAATCACAAAGGACAATTTTAAATGTGAATGGTCTTTGAGGTCCTTTAGCATTTGTTCTGTGCACCTGGGATGACCAGCTCAGACTTCATGTATCCACAAGGATCATTGAAAACACTCAAATCAATTGGTCTGACACTAGGGCCGATCTCTTTCCATGACCATGTGCACACAGCAATTACCCGAGCCCAGCTGTGGGGTCCTTTGAGAGAGCTGTCCAGGGGCTCCTCCCTGTCACACTCACAAACCATGCAGGACCACAGAGCAGGCTGGGATGTTCCCTGACTCCAGTTTGCAATTAAATCAATATACAGTGGTGGCCAAAATGATTAGAACACTAGTATTTTCACCAGCTAAAAAAATTGTTTTAAGTCAGTTATCTCTATCTTTTGCTGTAATGTGTCAGTAGGAAATATCAGTTTACATTTCCAAACATTAATTTTAATAATTGTAATACTCCAGTGTGATTTATGTTTGCACAAGGAGTCTGACAGCACCCAGTGCTCCACACAGAGATCTGATCTCATCATCATCCAGTCTGTCTGGAATGACATGAAGAAACAGAACAAACTGAGATAGACTAAATCCAGAAGAACTGTGGCAACGTCTCCAAGATGCTTCAAGAAACCCACCTGCAAAGCTTCAGTACTGTTAAAAGTGGCACTTATGTAAACATGCTGTAAAATGAGGATGCTGTCAAAAATAATGTCATAAATATATTTTCTTTATCAATTAACTTCTATAAACTAAATTAAATCAACATTTGGTGTGACCATCCTTTGCGTTTAAAGCAGCTTTTGCCCTAGGTGCACTTTGCCCAAGGTTGCATCGGCAACAGCTATATCGGTGCCAATTTTTTTTTTTTAATTATTTAAATGAAAATAATTAAAATATTTATTTTAGGTCATGCATGCATATATAAATTTTTCAATAAAACGTTAAATGTAGATGTAATTTTTTTATATAGATAGATAGATGGATGGATGGATGGATGGATGGATTGATAGATAGATTTAATTATATTTTTAATGAAACATATATAAATTTAAATAATTGTTTTAAGTCAGTTATCTCTATCTTTTGCTGTAATGTGTCAGTAGGAAATATCAGTTTACATTTCCAAACATTAATTTTAATAATTGTAATACTCCAGTGTGATTTATGTTTGCACAAGGAGTCTGACAGCACCCAGTGCTCCACACAGAGATCTGATCTCATCATCATCCAGTCTGTCTGGAATGACATGAAGAAACAGAACAAACTGAGATAGACTAAATCCAGAAGAACTGTGGCAACGTCTCCAAGATGCTTCAAGAAACCCACCTGCAAAGCTTCAGTACTGTTAAAAGTGGCACTTATGTAGATATTCTTTATAAAAGTTAAGACTCGTCCACGCCCTCCTAAAACGCCTCGTTTAAACACGCCCCCACATGCCTTCATCACTGTGTGGGAAGATTTGTATAACACCTCCCAAATGTTCACGCAAAGAAAGAATGCGTAACTTTGGTTCTCGCTGTAGTATTGTTGCCGCCGCCATGTCGTGAAGATCTATAAACTAAATTAAATCAACATTTGGTGTGACCATCCTTTGCGTTTAAAGCAGCTTTTGCCCTAGGTGCACTTTGCCCAAGGTTGCATCGGCAACAGCTATATCGGTGCCAATTTTTTTTTTTTAATTATTTAAATGAAAATAATTAAAATATTTATTTTAGGTCATGCATGCATATATAAATTTTTCAATAAAACGTTAAATGTAGATGTAATTTTTTTATATAGATAGATAGATGGATGGATTGATAGATTTAATTATATTTTTAATGAAACATATATAAATTTAAATAAAAAAAATAATTATTCAATTAAAATAAAATGAATAAATATTTATTTTAATGTATTTCATGTATTTAAATTCTATATACAATTTTCATCACAACATTTCATGTATTTATATTCTCTTAAAGGGGTCATATGATGCGATATCAAGTTTTCCTTTCTCTTTGGAGTGTTACAAGCTGTTTGTGAATAGATAAGATCCCTAAAGTTGCAAAGACTAAAGTCTCAAACCCAAAGAGATATTCTTTATAAAAGTTAAGACTCGTCCACGCCCTCCTAAAACGCCTCGTTTAAACACGCCCCCACATGCCTTCATCACTGTGTGGGAAGATTTGTATAACACCTCCCAAATGTTCACGCAAAGAAAGAATGCGTAACTTTGGTTCTCGCTGTAGTATTGTTGCCGCCGCCATGTCGTGAAGACGCTGTGTGTTTTGTTGTGAAAGCGAAACTACTTTGTGTTGCCTTCCAAAAGAGGACACGACTAATAATCAGTGGTTAAATTGTATTTACAACACTGTTCCAGAACAGTTTAACCCATATATTCATGTGTGTGTAAAGTATTTTACGGAGGACAAGGACTGTTTCCTGGGAGAGTAGCCTACAATGCCGGTTTTCTGACAAATAA